CTGGCACCTGAGTTAGCAACGTACTGGAACAAAACTTTCACGGGCCCGTGCATGTTTACCAAGCATACCAGAGTTGGGTTCGAGCTGAATGAAATTCAAGTGGACGGGGTGTATCCTCCTAAAATTACATTCCTTTAGCTTCTCAGGCACTCGAGTTATCAATTTACACGAATAACATTTTGGCGGTCCTGTATGTGGATACTACGCTTACACGGGAGCTGGGTTTGAGCCCACTAATATCCACTTGGACAGGGAACATCATCCTAAGATTTCAACTTTCTAGCTTCTCGGATCCCCGTGTCATGAACTTGCCCGAAAAAAACTTTGGCGGGCCCGTACGCGGGTACCACGCGGGTAATGGCGCCAATTTTCGGGTTTGGGGCCTGTACGTGCATGTAGATTAAATTTCCAGAGTTTCAGCTCTGTAGCTTTTTTAGGTCTTTAAATGAAAAACTGGGGCAGACGCACACACGGACACACACACACACACACACAGACAACCCCTCGTCAATATGCGTTTTTCGCATTGCATAGCTGCAAAAAACGCATAAAAACGAGTTTGACTATGTTGAAGTTGACTTGTTTTAACTATGTTGAATTTTAAAAAGTTCGCGACCCCAGTTCATTTGATTTAGGAGTAAATGGGGTCACTGTGGTAAGGGCAGTTACTGAAGTTTCGCTCGACTCGCTTTCAGCGTGAAATGCTCCAGCTTCTCTGCCAACGCTATTTTGGGGCATCAGGTGCCGACACCGTTTGGCACTTCGTCACTGAGCGCTGGATAGCCCTACCCTTTCAGTGGCTGGATCGCGGGTTGAGGATTGTTGGGTGAAAGAGTTGGACGTGATTGGAAGGTGGTTGTTGGTGGGTGTCCAAATGCAGCACCGTGAGACAGGTATTGGGAACAGGATAGAGGAAAGGGCTAATCAGGAGTTCAAGACGATAAATGGTGACAGTAGTTGGAAGGTGGTGGATGGTGGGTGCCCAGATGTCGTTCTGAAGGCGGGACGTGGGGATAAGATAGAGGAGGAGGGCAAGGATACTAGACAAGAGTTCATGAAAAGAACTGGAGATAGCAGTAAAGAGAAAGAGACAGCATAGCGGCACAAAGAAAAGTAAAGCAAACCTGTGATTAAGAAGATAGACGAAAAAAAGCAAAATCAGAAAGTCGGAACCTATGAA